ATCCAACCAGTCAGTCCTAGAGGAGATCAACCCTGACTGTTCTTTAGCAGGCCAGATCCTGAAGAGGAAACTCAAATACTTTGGCCACGTAATGAGAAGGAGGAAGGACTCCCTGGAGAAGAGCCTCATGCTGGGAACGATGGAGGGTAAAAGAAGAAGAAGGGGACGACAGAGAATGAGGTGGCTGGATGGAGTCACCGAAGCAGTCGGCGTGAGCTTCAATGGACTCCAGAGGATGGTAGAGGACAGGAAGGCCTGGAGGAACGTTGTCCATGGGGGTCGTGATGGGTCGGGCATGACTTTGCAACTAACAACAACACGTGATTTTGATTCTATGCTTCTGTTTATAAAGCCAAGGATTGTGTTGACTTTTTTAAATTTTGGGGGAAGACTGCTGGCTGATATTCATCTATTAGGACTCTAAAGTCCCCCTCGTGAATGGCTTGTAAATCAAGGATCACCTCTATTGCTTCCTTTGGGAAGCGTGCTGCATTTAAAATAGAAGAAAGCCACATGTGCATGTGAGAAATGGGATGATGGCCTGTAACCTTTGAAGGCTGCACATCTTGATTGCCAGAACGAAAGGAAGTGGTTGTGGGAGGACGCCCTATGAAAAGCACTTCTGGTACTTTAAAGTAACCATGCGATGCTTCTGAATGGCTTTCAACTGAGCAATTGGGTTGGTTGAATTAGAACAGAGGTCTCCAAACTTGGCAAGTTTAAGACATGTGGACTTCAACTCTCAGAATTCTCCAGCCAGCATAGCTAGTTCAGGAATTCTGGGAGTTCAAGTCCACAAGTTTGGGGAGCCTTTAATTAGAACATCTTGATTCTATGCTTTGCACCACACCTAATTCCATCAATCAGAATAAAGCTGGAAGGGACCTTTGAGGTCTTCTAGTCCAACCCCCTGCTCAAGTAGGAGACCCTAGACCAGGAGTGAGGAACGATGGGCTCTTTTATGACTTGTGGACTTCAACTCCCAGAATTCCTGAGCTAGCATGATTGGCTGGAGAATTCTGGGAGTTGAAGTCCACAAGACTTAAAGCTGCCAAGTTTGGGGACCCCTTAATTAGAACATCTACTGATTCTATGCTTTGCACCACACCTAATTCCATCAATCAGAATAGAGCTGGAAGGGACCTTCGAGGTCTTCTAGTCCAACCCCCTTACTCAAATAGGTGACCCTAGACCAGGAGCGAGGAACAATGAGCTCTTTTATGATTGTGGATTTCAACTCCCAGAATTCCTGAGTTAGCATGATTGGCTCAGGAATTCTGGGAGTTGAAGTCCACAAGTCATAAAAGATCCTATTGTTCCTCACTCCTGCCTTGTACATTTCAGACAGGTGGGCTGTCCAGTCTTTTCTTAAAAGCCAACTTCTGAAGGCAACTTCCGCTCAACTGATGAATTGTTCTGGCCGTCAGGAACTTCAGTTGACCGAATTTCATGTTTAATAAATAAAAGTATATAATACTATTACATTTATATGCTGCCTAACTTGGGGTGAATTTTTTAGGATTCTGTTCCGTGCCACGGATCTGCAGCAGGAAACTCTCTTTCAGAAAATAGAAGCCACAGCCCAACTAAGGAAAACTACCACAGGATAGTCCTCGACTTATGACAGTTCATTTAGTGACCGTTTGAAGTTACAACAGCACTGAAAAATACTGACTTATGAAAGTTTTCCACAGTTGCGACCTTTGCCGCATGCCCACGATCCCGTGGTTTCCATTCAGATGCTTGGCAGCTGACTCAGACTTACGACGGTTGCAGTGTCCCGGGGTCATGTGATCCCCTTTTGCAACCTGACAAGCAAAGTCAACGCGGGGGGGGGGGAGCCAGATTCACTTAACAACCATGTTACTTAACAACTGCAGTGATTCACTTAATAACTGTGGCGAGGAAGGTGGTTAAAATGGGACTAAACTCACTTAACAAATGTTTCCCTTACCCTGTTTCCCCGAAAATAAGACCTCCCCAATTGGGGCTTTGAGCGCATGCACAAAAATAAGCCCTCCCCAAAAATCGTGGAACGACATAACCGCGAAAGTCAAAAGCGCGCTGACAACACCGCGGCGCTAAAACCGTGATGTCAAAAGCGCGCGACAACAGCACACCGACAGAAGCGCGATTTAACTTAAGGTAAGGTTTAGGGTTAGGTTTAGGGTTATCTTACAGCGCACTTCTGTTGTGCGCGCTGTTGTCGGCGTGCTGTTGTCGCGCGGTTTTGACGGCGCGGTTTTGTCACCGCGCTTTAGTGACACGCGCTTTAGTTGACCGCGGTTTTGTGGTGGAACCCTCAAAAATATTGCAACAGAGCAGCAGCCCTGAGGTGACCACGCTCACTGCCTCCTGCACCTCAAAAATAATAAGACCTCCCCGAAAATAAGGCCAAGTGCTTATTTCGGGGGTCAAAAGAAAATAAGGCCCTGTCTCATTTTCGGGGAAACACGGTAGGAACAGAAATTGTGTTTGTAACTTGAGGACTACCTGTATGGAGCCCATATAATTTAATGAG